CTGGTAATGCAGTAGCCATGTCCACAATGTGTCACTTTCCACTCCAGAATTGATTTATATTATGTACTGTACCTCCTTGGTGCTGTGCACTAAAGTATTGCTGCTCAGATTTCTGCAACTTTCTGTCTTCAAGGTCAAATTTCTTCTTCAGATTACTTCAAAAATTCTGGAAATTTGCATCTGGATGATCCTGGGTGTACCATTAAACTAATTTATCACTCGTCGCCAAAATGTAATGTTCTTAAAGAATAATTATGAGACAGTTTATCTGAGGGAAAGGACTGGTTTGTTTATTTAACCAACTGATGACTGAACCCTGGTTGCTAGGTGCTACTGAGCATGCCCGCATAATTAATTACAAGACAAGACTAGGTCAAAGGTCACAATAATACAGAAGTAGAATACTACAATTACGGACAATGCATAACTTAAATTTCACCAGGAAATTCTGCAGTGTGCTCTCGCAATCGCGTACTTAGTCATTTTTACAAGGTTCGCCATTTTTGATGTCACGTGATAATTATGTAAACAATGTCTGTCCAGTTTGTGCGAACTTGCACCTCTATACTTAGTCTTTTGATATATATAACCTAAATTACTGTTCTGAACGAGACAACAGACAGAGATTGTTTTATTTAAAAACGTCACAAAACCTTCTCGCTACCTTAATATACATAGATTTAAATATTGAACTAATCATGTCTGTGCATTGTCAAAGTTCACCTATGTACCAAGTTTTATTGTAATCTAACAAGTGGTCCATGAGATATCTGTGGAACAGACATACCCACTCATGTACACTGAGTAACTACAAACAGTCCAATTGTGTACTTCACACATGGGAGACAAAAATGCATTACTCCAACCAGTCAGAAAAGTTGACATTTCTAATTTGACTATATCAGATATAGATTAATGAAAGAATACAAAACCAGCATCTGGATTACTTTTGAAAATTCTGTTATATTTCGGAAAGTTTTAATTTCCCCAATTTTTGAATATTTATTTGTACTTCATGTTAGTGAGGAGGTTGTAATAATTCCTCACTTTAACACTTTTTTCACTGATCAGACCCGTTAATTTTTTGTTTTAATGGCCATAATATTGACCAGCATTTTTCAATGGCCAAAATATTGACTGGTATTTTTAAACTGATGTCCATTATTCTTTATACTGGTCAGTATAATTGCAATTTTTTCTTACAACGATGGAGTTGATGGCAATCCTTTTTTTATGGACAGTATAATGGTCGTTTTATTCTTTATTTTAGTTGTACCATAGTAGTAGATAGTTCTTTTAGTTGTACCATAGTAGTAAATAGTTCTTTTAGTTGTACCATAGTAGTAGATAGTCCTTTTAGTTGTACCATAGTAGTAGATAGTTCTTTCAGATGTACCATAGTAGTAGATAGTTCTTTCAGATGTACCATAGTAGTAGATAGTTCTTTCAGATGTACCATAGTGGTAGATAGTTCTTTTAGTTGTACCATAGTAGTAGATATTCTTTTTAGTTGTACCATAGTGGTAGATAGTCATTTTAGTTGTACCATAGTACTAGATATTCCTTTTAGTTGTACCACAGTAGTAGATAGTTCTTTCAGATGTACCATAATACATGTAGTAGATAGTTATTTTAGTTGTACCATAGTAGTAGGTAGTCCTTTTAGTTGTACCATAATAGTAGATAGTTATTTTAGTTGTACCATAGTAGTAGATAGTCATTTTAGTTGTACTATAATAGTAGTAGACAGTTCTTTTAGTTGTACCATAGTAGTAGATAGTTCTTTTAGTTGTACCATAGTAGTAGATAGTCCTTTTAGTTGTACCATAGTGGTAGATAGTTATTTTAGTTGTACCATAGTAGTAGATAGTCATTTTAGTTGTACCATAGTAGTAGATAGTTCTTTTAGTTGTACCATAGTAGTAGATAGTTCTTTTAGTTGTACCATAGTGGTAGATAGTCATTTTAGTTGTACCATAGTTGTAGATAGTTCTTTTAGTTGTACCATAGTAGTAGATATTCCTTTTAGTTGTACCATAGTGGTAGATAGTCATTTTAGTTGTACCATAGTAGTAGATAGTTCTTTTAGTTGTACCATAGTAGTAGATAGTTCTTTTAGTTGTACCATAGTGGTAGATAGTCATTTTAGTTGTACCATAGTAGTAGATATTCATTTTAGTTGTACCATGGTAGTAGATATTCCTTTTAGTTGTACCATAGTAGTAGATAGTTCTTTCAGATGTACCATAATACATGTAGTAGATAGTTATTTTAGTTGTACCATAGTAGTAGATATTCCTTTTAGTTGTACCATAGTAGTAGATAGTTCTTTCAGATGTACCATAATACATGTAGTAGATAGTTATTTTAGTTGTACCATAGTGGTAGATAGTTCTTTTAGTTGTACCATAGTAGTAGATAGTCCTTTTAGTTGTACCATAGTAGTAGATATTTCTTTTAGTTGTACCATAGTGGTAGATAGTCATTTTAGTTGTACCATAGTGGTAGATAGTTCTTTTAGTTGTACCATAGTAGTAGATAGTTCTTTCAGATGTACCATAATACATGTAGTAGATAGTTATTTTAGTTGTACCATAGTGGTAGATAGTTCTTTTAGTTGTACCATGGTAGTAGATATTCCTTTTAGTTGTACCATAGTAGTAGATAGTTCTTTCAGATGTACCATAATACATGTAGTAGATAGTTATTTTAGTTGTACCATAGTAGTAGGTAGTCCTTTTAGTTGTACCATAATAGTAGATAGTTATTTTAGTTGTACCATAGTGGTAGATAGTCCTTTTAGTTGTACAATAGTAGTATAGTTCTTTTAGTTGTACCATAGTAGTAGATAGTTCTTTTAGTTGTACCATAGTAGTATAGTTCTTTTAGTTGTACCATAGTAGTAGATAGTCCTTTTAGTTGTACCATGGTAGTAGACAGTTCTTTTAGTTGTACCATAGTAGTAGATAGTTCTTTTAGTTGTACCATAGTAGTAGATAGTCCTTTTAGTTGTACCATGGTAGTAGATAGTCCTTTTAGTTGTACCATGGTAGTAGATAGTTCTTTTAGTTGTACCATGGTAGTAGATAGTTCTTTTAGTTGTACCATGGTAGTAGATAGTTCTTTTAGTTGTACCATAGTAGTAGATAGTTCTTTTAGTTGTACCATAGTAGTAGACAATTCAGCAGTAAACTTAATATATGTAATGTAACTTAATATAGTATGTATTAATTTAACCTCTCAAACCGACAGAGAAATTAAAGATGCCTAATTGCAGATTAGTCATGCATGCAAAATACTCAGAAACAGATTAGTTGCCTCTCCACAAACTGATATTTTTTACTCACCCTTATTGAAGACATTTGTTGGCACCTGCACTGTACTTTCTGTGATATTAACCTCAATATTGTTGAAATGTTCATCTGGGGTCAAATCAAATCTACCACCTAACCCATCAAATGATTCATATTGTTGAGTCTTATTGTCATAGTTTTGATTAATCAACATAGCATTATAGTAGGTGACCTATATAACATGAACAAAAATAAGTAGTAACAATTATTATTATTTTATGACATTTAATCATAAGATATTATGAAGCCAAGAGTTTTGGTGACTTGGCGAGCTTTTATGGACACAGGGTTAACCAGTTATCCAATTAAAGATATTAATTCACACATCAGGTGACTAATGGCATAAATAAATAGCAGTGATACAACATGGCACTATAATTCAAACTGATCAATTGTTGACTTAGAAAATGTTTTGATTTATATGCATTACTTTAATGCACTACTAAACAAGATTGGAGTTCACATTTTGTTAAAATTGTCGCTGGTACTCACTTTTGTGATCTACTTGTTTGGATCACCAGAGACGTAACGCATGCCAAGTTTTGCAAGAGTTACTATCCAAGTATGAATTAATAGGATACAAATTTGTTGAAAACTGTGATTTCATTAATTTTTTTAATTGAATTTGGTGTACAAAGAATAAAAATCAAGTTCTTATGGTAGAGTGGTGTGAGATTCCAGGGTTTGGGGGAAGTGATGTGCCAAATTCAATAGATTATGAAGAGAATGGTGTGAGATCTTCAAAGGGTGGATGAAATATTATATTTGGGTTATTATTGCAGGCTGTTAGCTGAGATAGCTCCGCTGTTAGCAATGCACATTTAAATTAAGAACTGAAGATATCTAAAAAATAAACAATATGTATAGTATAAAAGCAATCAAACTTGCTGTTTTCAAAAAGAATTCGAAAATATCACTTTTTACCAAAAATATTCACCAAAATTAGAGAATTGAAGATGAAATGAACAAATCATGAAACGAACAAATCACATTCAGTGAAAACCACGGAGAAGGTGTGGGGTTTTGTTATTATTACATATGTTCCATATTTGATTATTTCATATTAAAGAAAGAACATGCAACAAACCGGGATGGAATTTAGGTCCGGAAACCCCATTAATATGTTCGAAGATTGTGTTATGCCATAGTGTAGAACGCGTGTCACTGTCTGTGTGAAAATAAAATATTAAGACATCTAATTTGAGTTGATGTCAAAATAAACAACTTGCAGACATTTAGTTGGAGCCACGAACTGGACGACTGTGATACAAAGTTTATGTTGAGTTAAAAAGCTCCTCCACAGATCAGTGCATTGGCAAATATGCCGTACTCCACTGACTTTCGTCGACATCGGTCGTCGCTGAGCTGCACGCGACAACTTTGTTTGTGATGTTGCTTGCTGGTCATTGATTGAATGAGTCTTGGTTACCGATTAAAATGTCGTTTATTTGGCATTGGTAATTTTTTTTTGGAACTTAGTAATGTCGCATTTAGTCAAAATAAGTGGCTGCCTAAAAGTACCACTACCAATTTCATTTCACTTGGCATATATATATATTCCTGTACCCCAAAAGAAAAAATATTGTACTTCTAAATATTGTTTATTTCTGCTCTTTCAAAAAACTATACTCCTGAAGGGACTACTTTGTTTGCTCTCAGACCTCATTTGCATATAGGATGTGGAAATACTGATTTTGATCTGTAATAATACTCATTATTAGGATGAGTGCCCAGGCATTCATGATAAACTGCTGTACAAAACAACATCAGCAAAACAGGGCACTTTACAAATATTGACTAACTTACAGTGGTAGGACTAGTAGGAGAATACAGCAGTTCATCAACATCAGGTGTCTCTACATTGGCTCTCTCTGCTGCTCTTACTAAATTCTGAAAAAAAGAAAGAATGAAAGAACTCTCATCAATTCAATTCTCGTCAATGTAAGATATTCATCAAAATTAGAGAATTGAAGATATTGTCACAAAATCAACAAATCTGATAGAGGTCCACCTGATATACCTACATATACAATATCAAAGAAATTGAACAAGCAGTTTTCAAGAAGTCAAAAATATAATTTTTTACAAAAAATTACAAAGATATTCATCAAAATTAGAGAATTGAAGATATTGTCACAAAATAAACAAATCTGACAGAGGTCCACCTGATACACCTATATATACAATATCAAGCAATCAGACAAGCAGTTTCAAGGAGAAGTCGAAAATATAATTTTATACCAAAAATGACAAAAATATTCATCAAAATTAGAGAAATGAAGATATCATCACGAAATGAACAAATCTGAGAGAGGTCCACCCAAGGTACCTACATACCAAGTATAAAAGCTAGCGGTTTATGAAAAATGGCAAAAATATTCGCTATAAATAAGACAATTGAGCATATCCACATGAAATGAACAAATTTGAGAGAGAACCACCCAATGAAGTTTCACAGCTATACAGTTTGCGATGGCAACAACGATGGCAGCGACGAACAATCAGTAGTACTATAAGCTACGGGGAGCTAAAAATGTGATCGGCTATTCTGCATCTTTGGAGGCCTGTAAATAATATTTACCTCTGTGTAATGGTTGAGGCTATTATTTAAGACAATACAGAAGGCTTTGCCAGTGCAGTTTGATACAGAAATGCCTCTGTAATTCCCTGGCTCATCCCAATCATCTTTTTTATGATATTATAATAACACTAATATTCCAAAGTGTAAAGCTATGCCAGAAAAAGACCCTCATTTATTGGGTATTTGTGACCAAACTACAACTATGTTGACCTTTCACAAGTGAATTGAAATACACTACAATGTAACCCACTCAAATATTGTATTTGAAGACATTCCTGCATACACGCACTTTTTGAGCACTATAAATGTCTTACACACACACTATACATATGCCAGCAATAATAAAAATTCCTTACCTCAACTGCCTCAACTTTATGACGTAACATATCATCAACATTTTTTGCTATATTTGATATCATTTCATCACCATCTATCTGTGTAACAGTAAGAGTACCTTGATGTAACTGAGTTTCATACTCCTATAGGAATAAAAAAAAATAATAAATAGTTGAATGCTAATTGTATGTTATAATTTAGCCATTCTTCATAAATAAAATTTAGAATATTTTTTTTATGCTGGATATTATAAGAAATCAATACTAGTATTTTGTAGAGGCAATAACATTTACACTTTGCACAATACATGTACAGCACGTATATTTCACACTTTGCCCAATACATGTACAGCACGTATATTTCACACTTTGCTCATTACAGGTACATTACGTATATTTCACACTTTGCTCAATACATGTACAGTATGTATATTTCACACTTTGCTCATTACAGGTACATTACGTATATTTCACACTTTGCTCAATACAGGTACAGTACGTATATTTCACACTTTGCCCAATACATGTACAGTACGTATATTTCACACTTTGCTCAATACATGTACAGTACGTATATTTCACACTTTGCTCATTACAGGTACATTACGTATATTTCACACTTTGCTCAATACATGTACAGTACGTATATTTCACACTTTGCTCATTACAGGTACATTACGTATATTTCACACTTTGCTCAATACATGTACAGTACGTACATTTCACACTTTGCTCAATACAGGTACAGTACGTACATTTCACACTTTGCCCAATACATGTACAGGAGGTATATTTCACACTTGTTCAATACATGTACAGTACGTATATTTCACACTTTGCTCAATACAGGTACAGTAGGTATATTTCACACTTGCTCAATACATGTACAGTACGTATATTTCACACTTTGCTCAATACAGGTACAGCAGGTATATTTCACACTTTGCTCAATACATGTACAGTAT